TATATGGAATATTAAATTTTAATTTCATTTAATTCATAATAAATTATAAATATAAATTTTTTAATGAATTATAAATATAATTTTTTTTAATTTCATTTTATTTTTTCGTATTTAATTTTTTTAACTTTTATTTTTATTTTTTACATATATTATAAAATATCTTTCAACAAAAATGATTTTAAAAAAAATATTTTTTCCTAACCGCCATGTCCAAATGCTACTCACCTTGGCATTTCAGATTTTGGCTTTTCGGATCAAAATGCCAAGTGAAAAAGCCATTAGCCAAACAATGGTTTTGGCGGTTCGCTTGGTCAAAAAAGCCAAAGTCAGTCAAAGATGCCAAAAGCCATCCCAAATGCTGTTTTCCAAACACGGCCAAAAACCGTATAAAATCGAACCGAATAACCAACGGTTTACATATTTTTTATGCAAAACCGAACCGAACCGTCAATTTACCTTCCGTTTCGTCTTTGGTTTTGGGTGAAAACCGAACCACCAAACCGAACCCACCCCTATGTGAGGAACTCCTACTTTAAATCCTACTATCTTTAGCAACCCAAAGACGAACCCTAAAGTTACTACTAAAAATAGCGCAATAAGATTTGTAGAAAACATCACTATAACAACTTTGGAGTAACACTACAGCTACATAATAAAATCAGCTAGAGTGTCTTGATTAGCAAAAACACTTAATGAGGTAGCCAAGTACTAATCAAGTGACATTTGAGTTCTACTCCCTCCGTTCCATACAACCCTTCCCCTTTCGTTTTTTTCAATTCCCTAAAATACTTCTACTTTCTATTAAAAAATCACTTTTACCCCTATTTTTTCATACTCTGTCTATCACATCATACTTTTTCACGAATAACCAAACTATCACATCTTATGTTTATCCATCACATCAATGACAAAATTAGAAAGTCAACTAAAATTATACTTTCATTATTTTTGTCCAAAGTCAAAATGAGAATAGTTTTAAGGAACGGAGAGAGTAGAAAAGTTTGGTTATTTAAAACACTTTTGGACTGTAAAGAAATGTCATTTTAAAATAGGTTAGGCGTGTACTTCTAATTGAGTCCAATTCAACCATAAACAAAGCACAATTCTCAAAAGACTTTTTTGAGTTTAAATTTAACAATAACATGAAGCTAAAATTCTTCCAAAGTCAAATTCATTCAACAAGAACAATCAGACCAAAGATTCAATCTTTGTTATTAAACAATTTGACATAAGAAGATTTTGTAATTTTAGAGACAATAATTAAATTAAAAATCAAATTTGGACTGATTCAACATTGACATTCAAACAAATCAACACTTAATATAAAATTAAACATTCAATTACACATCAATTGAAAATTTACATAAACATATTAGATATTTAAATTCATCAATTAAAAAATTAAAAGATTTGGATTCCTAATTAACAAGAACGGAAAAAAAAAAGTTGAACAAAATGCTCCATCTCTCCTTGGTCCATTTCCTGTGCCAGAATCAAAGTCACCATCGATGTTGCTGCATCAGACCAGACGCCGCCCAACTGTTGCCGCCATCCACTGCATCAATTTCTATCACCGGACCTAGGGTCAGGCTGGCGATTCTGCTCTGTGATCTCCCTCCCCGTATTGAAGAAGACCTCCTATACATGTTAATATAGAGCAAGAGGTTGCGTTGGATTGAAACTCTCTAGTTGTTTTGGAAGACTCTGTTTCCTGCGCTACATTTCTCTTCGTTCCAATCCCTTCCTTTTCGTGAAATTTAGAATACTAAAACATGAGTCATTTTTACTTAAATTTTTTTATTTTCTAAATAGGACTTAATAATAATCAGTGAGAAAAAATAATGTCCAAGTGATGCTGGACATTTAGTTGAATAATGACTAATAGATAATAACCAATGGTCCTACATTGAGAAATAAAAACATATGGTGAGAAAGTCATTACTTCCCCTGTTCCTTAATATTTGCTACACTTGTAATCCCGAAGTAAAATATCATATTTTTTCAATTCATTTTATTTACATATTGATATAGAAATAAAAAATACGGATTAATATTGATGGTGTAAATATAGATGGGTGGGTTGACAGGGTTTGACCTAGAGACTCGACCCGAAATATAAAACACACAACAAGAACACAAAGTATGACCTAGACCGGGTAAATCTCCTCAGTCCGAAATATATTTCTTACTCTGTCTCAAGATTGTACTAGTTTTTAGTGAGAGAAAGAATGGATCCCCTCTTCTATCCAATATCATCATATTTATAGAGGAGGATTTGTGACCTTCCCCTGTTCATCCATGGACAAATTAAGAAGCCCATGGGAAGGTCACTGTACATAATCAATCTACTATTCAATTAATGAATTTAGCAACAACAAGCCAAGACATAAACTGTTCAATCAAAGACTATAAATGGATATTCTCAATCCAATCAGCCCTGCAAAATGACAAATGTTCCTTTCACTATTTGCCTCGTGAAGGGCGAACGGCGTGGTGGTCCCCTGGCCTTTGACGTTGATTGCCATTCCCAAGTGACGCAACCTTACCGGTCATCTTTCCTCCAAGGTTGTCCGGTCATTTCTTGAGTTCGACCCGTCTCTTTGGTCCTCTAGACTATCCTTCGTAACATGAGGTGACGAATTGTCTAATGCCCAAAATGTGACCGGTCACTTTTTTAGTGGAGGTGACCGGTCAAAAGTTGACCCGTCCCAATCGAAGAGTTAACCTCATTTGGTGATTGATAAAAGTGACCGGTCATATTTGACCTGTCCCTTTCGGTTATCCGGGTCAGGTATAAGGACATACTCATCAAGAAGTCCTCCACTTACCGGCCTTGTGAGGAAGTCATCAAGGGCGGGAAGTATATTTATGTTGATCTATCACTTTTGAAATCATCAAGTCATTCCCATGACCTGTCCTTCTTTGAAATAATCAAGTCGTTCCCATGACCTGTCCTTCTTTGAAATAATCAAGTCATTCCCATGACCTGTCCTTCTTTGAAATAATCAAGTCATTCCCATGACATATCCTTCTTTGAATTCATCAAGTCATTCCCATGACCTGTTCTTCTTTGAAATCATCAAGTCATTCCATGACTTGTCCTTTGAAATTATCAAGTCATTCTCGTTGACCTGTCCTTTTAGACCCGTCGCTTTTAGAATTATTAGACCTTTCCGTTCAGACCTGTCTTCTTCTAGAATCATCAAGTCATTCTCGTTGACCTGTCCCTCTTTTAAATTGTCAAGCCATTCCCATGACCTTTCTATGGAGACCTGCCCATTTCTTGGATTCATCGTCTTCATTTCAGACCTGGCACTTTTGGATTTGTGCAATACGCTGCATGACCTGTCCATTCGGGTTAGTGGAAGTCCAAACGTTGGCCCTGACCCTTCAGTTTTTGGAATTTCCCCCCAAAACCTTTCACCTTACCATTCAAAATTCAAAATTTTCCCTCCTAATCATTACCTCTTCCACGTGTCAGGCTCTCCTTCCCCCACCTGTCGCCTCGAATTCCAACCCTTCCCTCTCTCTCCTATAAATACTCCTCCAACCCATCTCATTTCTTCACTTCTCTCCTTCGTTTCTCTTGAGTTGCCCGGTCAACTGTCTCTCTCTAGCTCTCTGCCAAGTAAGTCCTCCAGTCCTCCTAGTCTTTATTTTTTCATCTTTCTGTTTTTGACCGGTAGGCTGAAGTCATGTCTTCTGATAGTCAAAATATATCCGGCCATTCTTATGGGTCGGGCTCTTAACCCTCTTCCTCTTCCCACTCTGAATCTTCTTCTCCCCCTGCCACTCCTTTGATTCCCCGCCCCTCTCACCAATCTAGCTCTCAGGCCCGGGAAATAGTTGCCCTAGAGCTTGTCCCTTTGAACCAACTGCCCGGTCGGTTCGATCCCAAGGTCCTCAGCTGGGACCAATGGGAAGAGCGATTGGAATTGTTGGGTTACTTAGCCCTTGACTCCGGACCGGTCTTCAAGGAATCCTCTAGGGTTACAAAAAAGGTCCTGGCCGAAGTTCGTTCTGTCCTTCCACCGGGCTACAAACTTCTTTCAAAAACTTCATGGCCCAATATCATTGAACCCCACCAGGGAAACCGGTTGGGTTTTCACGTTGCTTCGCTGGAGGGAGGCATTATCTTTCCCCTTCGCCCCCTCCTCATAGAAATTTTAGATTTTTCCATTCGCCATTTCTGGTCATTCCAGAACATCAAGAAGTGACCGGTCACTTTTGACCATGCCCTCTTCTTATATCCATCTAGCCTGTCTGTCGTGTTCTACCCCGACCTTGATCAAACTTCGATCGAATGTTCCGAAACGGCTTTCGTCTTAAGTCTCGACATCAAGACCCGACCTTTTCTTTGGAGATTTTGACCATGTCCTATGGTCGCGAACCCTCTCCAAGGTTCAGCCCTCTTCCAGGCAACACCCTTCTTCCAGGGCCCCTTTTCCAGGTTTTAAGTCTTTTAATGTGTCATTCTCTAATTATTAGGTTGACCTAGCCAACCTAATCTTCCCACATGGGGGTATGCCGGTGAGAACCAGCCCTCATCCAATCCTGCACGTCCATATATTATGTGTTCGGAAATTCTAGTCTTCCCTAGACATTCCGA